GTCTGGTGTTCTCCACAGGTTTTTTAATTCAGAAAGATATCCAGGGGTAAAAAACAAACAAACCCCACCATGAAAAAAAAAGGGCACGTGGCATTTATCAGCCACATCAGCCACAAATGCTGATTGCCGATACTGTCGATTTTCCTTATATAGGTGCCGATCTGATATGGGACCGATGTATCGGCGCACCAGTACTGTGGTGGCAACATGGCCATTGTGAATTTTCATGGTGATATCCAAGAAATGAATTTTGTGGATAGAGTATTCAAGAGTCAGATTCTTTTTCAGGGGAGAAATAAATGTATAGTTGTACAAAGGTCCAACAGCCAGTTCTAAGAGTATGCACTGTCCCTGCTTCTGTGTGCCTTTGTCTTGAAGAAAAACTCCACACAGTTTTTCTGTTAGCACCTGAGGCAAAACAATCCACTAAAGGAATTCTGATTCTTTGGCCTGTCATTTTGTATGCCTATGAGTGAATACTCTATTTCCTAGGTTTTTTCTCTTTGTTTCTATATCAAGCTAGTATGTTTTCTTTTTCATTAATGTAGAGTACATTGAAGGATCAGATGTTTTCTTCTACCAGTTCAGCAGCTTGTGGGTCTTCTTGTAGAGAAAAGATTTTATTCCTTCTATGTATTTCAAGTTATCATTACATGTGGCTGTTACTGGTAAGGATTCACCAAACTTCAGAATGAAGGTCCCATAATCTCCACATCAAGTCCCAAAGAGGCAGACTCACCCCACAGATTCAAACTAGGCTGGTTTATGTCAGAATCAGAAGAGATTCTCAAATACAGCCACTGGTGGTCCACATTTATGGGGAGTACATTTAAGATCCCAAGTGACATAGCATGTTTGTCTCATAGAGGAATAAATAAGGAAAGGGCAGTAGTCCAAATGCATTTCTAAATTATAGCACAGTAGAAACACTGTTATAATTTTTACCAGCAACATCATACTATGATTTATCTGAATCTCACAGTAGGATCAAGGCCCACTGCTCTCCATAGGAAGGCCTGTGAGCTTGGATGAACTAGAATAACTAGTTTACTTTGGTATGATTAGTACTATGACAGTGTAAAAATCTAGTGGATGGATGGTGCATACTCATAATCTGGGATAATTTCACATGATCCAGTCGAGAGCTATCACTAAAATAATCAAGCATGAAGCGTACTAGGCTAGCACCTTAGAGACTAACTGGTTCAGAGAGGCATAAGCTTTCATAAACAACAGTTTATGAATGGCATTGCTTCTGACAAAGTGGGCTGTAACCTATGAAATTTTATGAAACAGTAAGTCTCTAACACATCATTCCGCCCTACCCCCTGCCTGACTTCAGACTAAGACAGCTAACTACCTCTCTCTACAGAAATAATCAGGAAAAAAAAAGCCACAGTGAAGAAATAGGCTGCACTGGTTGAGATAATTGTGCTTGCAGTTTATCCCAGGGTAGCCATTTACTTAAGGCGAACAAGTTATTGCTCCCCTGCCAAGTAGCCAAGGCACAATAATTGCAGCTGACAGTGTGAGTTATGCAATAAGATGTCCATTATATATTCCAGTATAATCTGCATCGATGTATAAAAATAATCTAAATTACACTAGGGCATGTGATCATCAGTCAGTGTCTTGTGACAAGCTGGCAGCTCCTACAGGTTAGCAATAATTTTCCTTTTTCAGTTAGGAGGTCTGCTGAATATACAACAGTCAAAATGAATAAAAGTATTCTATGTAAGACTTTGTGGGTTTGAAGAATCTGCATTTTTCAAGGCAGCCATATTTCTTTGAAACTTTTATAAGCTCAAGCTGGATGCAGCTTCAAGTGGCAGTAACTAACATTATATCTTCTCAAAGAGACCTTTATAATGCAAGATTTGAGCAGAGGCCTCAAAACAAATGAGGTCCCTTAATGTTTATAAAAACAGCAGTATTATTTCCAAAGCTAAACTGAATACAATTAAGGCAGGAGAAGACAAAGTAGCCGTGAATGACCTAAATCTCTGTTCAAACAACTTCCTTTCTTTCGAAGGCTAGGGACCAAAATCTCACTATCTCTGAAAAGGACTTATAAATAGATTCAGAAATGCTGTCATCACTTAGAAATAAGATCAGTCAGGTATGAACAGATATTTCCTGAGGACCACACTATCATACAATTAGCTACTAGAAGTATGAAATATGTAGTTTAAATTAAAATTTGATTACTTATCAAACAGGGACTGATTAGAATTATCACTGGCATCTTAATGTCACATTAAATAAAGTAGGTTCACCTTCAATCCCAAAATAAAATGAACTTAAAGTGATCAATATCACTCACCATCCATCTCCTGCCCCATTTTATTGAACTCAACTCCTCAGACTGCGACAAGCAGGTGATTACTAGAAGTATAGGAAGAGGTACAGAATCGGGGGGGGAGGGGAGGTAGGCGAGAGCTACAAATAAAGAGCTATAGCAAAATCCCTTTGCTCATCCCAGAGCAACAAGACGAATAAACTTAATCCTTTGAAAGATAAAGATAAGAGTAGTGGAAGCAGAAAGCTAAAGCAAATCTGTCAGAACCAGGAATAAAAAAAAATTGGAATGCTTATGTTGAAAAACTAAGCCTATGAGAGCAGATCACTGTCTATAAAAACCCTGGAAAAATCAACTTTGTGCAATTAATGTCAGACAAGAATCCACTAATGAAAAAGGAGCAAGTGAAGTAAGACCGAAAGTGCCTTTTGCTTTAGATTCTAATTAGTCCTCTATCTCTATAACCTGTTATAGCATGGCATAACTTACTTTGTCTCGTTTGGCAGAAGGAAATAAGTGCAAGAGTTTGACACTTTTTTACACACTCAAATGGTCTCCTACAGCCACAATTCTTTTTGTCCCTTGGAAATAACCTCTTTTTCCATTACTGTATTTTTTTCTGGATTTCTCTGTTCCAAAATGTTATTCATAAATAAAAATGACAAGTAGTGCATGCTCATTTCTCCCTTTATCAAACAGTTACAAAATGGGATTTTTACATTTCAGGAAACTAGGCCAGCTTTATCACAACACAGTTTGTTAGGAAACCAATTTTAGTATTTTTTCACACATACTAAGAGCTGCTTGAGGCATTTTGGCTAACATATTCCTTTAAAGTTACTCTTCCTTAGAGACAATAACCATTTACAGAATGAAGAAAAGGCAGTAAATGAGTTTTGGGAAAAAGGGAAAATGAGACAAGTAGAAGTTCTTTTAAGTTCATGCTATACAGATAATTTGGGAAAGATTTTTTCAAAAGCCTTCACCTTTATGATTACATATGATAGGATTTTTCATACTTCAGCTTCCCATCTAATATATAATTAGATGAGGAAATACTAACTTATGCCTCCTGGATAAATTGTGTGGCTAAAGATGTGCACTCTATTAGTTGACCTCTCAAAGCTGAAAGCAAGGTGAAGACATTTCATAGTACACTAAAATACTGAGTGTCTACTTAACCATTTCTGAAAAAAACTCTTTATTTCCATTTGAATGGGGGTCAGCAACATATGGCTCATGGACCAGATATAGCCTGCAGAGCCTGAAGGCTTTGCCTATGCCTGTTCAAGGGCTAAGCAAACAGAAGCTGCACCAGGACTGGGCAACTTCCAGATGCACCCTTGTCACCACTGTTTCTTCCCCCATTCCCTTGCTTCCCCCAAAACTGCACTTCCCCTGCCTCAGCTGAGATGTAGAAGCAGCAGGAGCATGGGCACAGCTTCCATCTACCTAGCCCCAGTGCAGCTCCCTACCACCTGGAAGCTGTGCCCACACCCAAGCCAAGGAGCCAGGGGTTAGGAAAAGTGGCAGTGGTGTGGGTGCAGCTCCCAGCTGTCTGGCCCTGTTGTGGGCACAGGGAAAGCCTCCCTGCTGCTGATGTGCCATAACCGGCCTGTACAGGACCAGAGCTGGGTTGTTCCACCCTGTGACTTGAAACAGTTGCTAGCCACTGCATTAGAAAAATAACTCTCTCTTCTATCCTGTCTTCAACCCAACACTGTTCCCTACTGGCTTTTTGAGAAAACATAACAAAGAATTTTATTAAATGACTTAACAGGGAGAGAAGTATTTATAATAGAGCTTGTCACAGAAAGAGAACACAAACAGTACTTATTATTAAAAAATCAGCATCAGTCAAAGTTACCCAAGGTAATAGCTGAAGCCATGGCTACACTGCAAACAGTGCCTGGCCAGAGCTTACACAGAGTATGCTTCCACCCTAAACAAGAGCAGCGTAGCCACATTTGCATGGTTCACATTTGACAAGCTAATGAGCACTGCCAGGTAACTGCTAGTACCAGTTAACAGTGGCTGGTGCCTTTACAAACTTCCCTATCTACTGAAAGACTGTCATCCTTGTGTCAAGGGACTGCTGATGTTGCCATTGCAAAAATGGCTACACTGCTTAAGGTTGTGGATTAGTATAGGTGGAGCAGAAAACATGTTTAAGGGCATTACTGCCTGGCATGGCAAGTCTGTAGTGTAGACATGACCTGAGAGATTCAAATAGTGTTTCCTACCTTTAGGACAAGACACAGCTATAATAAATGGGTGGTAATACAGTTGCTTAGAAATTTCTGACTGTTTTAATATATTTTACAGAATCATCTGTGTAAACACATGTTATACCTCCCAACAATTAGCCAACTAAGTAACAGAAGGCATGTAAATACTTGAATTAGGGAACATGAGAAAAGAAACAGAAAGGCTCACAATAGATAGAAAAGAGTGCCAAAGAATTGAATAAAAAAGATATCACTCACATTCTATAGAACAATGAACAAGAGTATGCTTATTCATCTTACTTTAAGGTAATTTTACATTCCTCAAAACCTTTCAATACTAATTAATCTGCAGTGAGTTATTCTAATACAAATTAAGTCAGAGACAAGTTTAACTTGGACTTCATGCTATTAATGAACCTTCTGCTACTAAACTGCAACAGCCTCTCTGATTCTAAACTAGCCATTCTGCTTACCTGGTCTAAAAGATCTTCCACTTTCTTTTGCCATCCGTCTCTGGCAGCATTTTTTTCACGTTCTTTCAGTTGCAAGAGCTGAGTCATGGCTGCCTTTTTATCCTCTTCATGCTGAAGCCTCAGCTCCTCACGAAGTTTAGTACATTCCTGTCTGAAAGAAAAAGTAACAGAATTACAATATAACCTGGCCTTTTATAACAATGGCTGTTTACAGACTTTAGAAAACAAACAACCAACACCCTCCCAAACACACTTTACCAAAAGAAGCAGAGCATTAGTTCAACCAGGCTCTGCAGCAGGCGCTTTAGCGAGGCTTTTTGGCGCTTTTGTCTAAAGCTGATTCAATCAGTTATTAGCTAAAAGCCCCAAAAAAGCCCCAATCTATACAGGTGTTGGGCGAGCCGGGTCTAATTAATGCGATGCCTCTTCTGGGCATGTGCTGTGCTCGGTGCGGGGACGTGCCAATTTTAAAGTACAGTGATATTTTTTTAGAGTTTTTTAACATCTGTAAGCAGCTAATAAAAATGAGAAATAGGAAAAACAATTGAAATGCTTAGCCAATTATAGAAAACTAGCCAACTGCCAATCAAGAATAACTGGGGGGGGGGGCGAGAAGAGGCCCCTGCCTGGCACCCACCCCCACTTCAGGTCTGGCCCTGCTCCCCCATCCTGTCTCCTCTCCTCCCCCCCCAAATCCGGGCCTATTCCCCCCTCCCCCCATTTGGGTCTGGGCCCATTCCCTGCCACCCCCGCGGT